ATAGATGTTTTATGTTGTCGCTATCTCTGTCTTGTGCTGCGGCGATCTTATGATAGTCGATTGATGTAGGGCACGTTAAACTGGCAATTGGTATGCGACTGAGTGCATCGGCGACCATGTTGTCCCTTCCACTGATGTGACGTATGTCAGTCGTGAATACACTTATGAAAATAAGTTGTCTTGCTCGTCGTGGTGTTTCCGATAGTGATGGTTTCTTCAGAAATACATATGTTAATGGCTTGTGGTTGGTAAAAATGATCAGGTTTCGACCCTCGAACGTTTTTCTGAAGTGCTTGATAGCCATGTAGATAGCGAGTAACTCTCGGTCAAATGTACTGTAGTTACGTTGAGTATCGGAGAAATTCTTCGAAAAATAGCCAAGTGGTTGCCATTTCCCATTGCTGTATTGTTGGAGTACGGCTCCCGCTGAGAGATCGGACGCGTCGCTGGTGGTGGGTGAGCGAGCGAAGCTGCATTTTGGATTGCAACTTTACAAGCTTCAAATGCCTTAGTAGCTTCATCATTCCATCCGATTGACGATTTATCTTTTTTATTCATGTTGTGAAGGTAGGCGTGAAGTGGTGCTTGGATTTCAGCTGCTTTAGATATGTGTTCTCTGTAAAAATTTATCATTCCAAGAAAACCCCTTAGTTCTTCGATAGTTTTAGGTTTCGCATAATCGATGATTGCTCGACTTTTTCAGCAGGCGGTTTGATTCCTTCCTTGCTGACGGTGAAACCAAGAAATTGTACTTCTTGTTGGCTAAATATGCATTTCGAAGGGTTGATTGTAATTCCGTTGTCTTCTAATCGTTGTAGCACGGTGCGTAGATGGGTTTCTTGCGTTTCTTCATCAGGGCTTGCAACAAGGAGTACATGAATGCGAACACGAAATTCAGTCCATGAAGTACTTCGTGTGATGAATCTTTGGAAGGTTTGACCAGCATTCTTCAATCCCGGGGTCATGATTGGAAATTCGAATAATCCCATTGGGGTAATTATTGTTGTCTTCTATATGTCTTCATCGCGTACTCTTATTTATTGGTAAGCTCGGTTGAGATCGATGATGGAGAATATAGTCTTGTCTGCTAGTTGATGAGTGAAATACTTGACTCGCGGTATTGAGTAGCGGTCAGGAATGGTAATAGGATTCAGTCTTCTGTAATCTCCACAAACTTGTAATTCTCCATTCTTCTTCGGTACAATGTGAAGTGGTAATGACCAAGGGCTTTTGCTTGGACGGCATATTCTTTGCTCAATCATGTTTTCGAACTTGTTCGTATAGGTGTGGTGCAATTGGACGTGCACGGCAATGAAGTTGTGGTTCATTGGTTTCGATGAAATGCTCAACGTCGTTCTTCGGTGATAATTTCATAGAAGTTATTCTAGTGATTCCAGGGTATTCTTCGAGGATCTTGTGATACGATTGTAAAACATCTATGCTTCTTATTGTGGGCAGATTGGTTGCTTGGATGAAATTGCAGATTGGTTTTCCCGTCGATGATTCTTATATTTTTGATGTCGACGATCAACTGGTGATGTTGAAGAAAATCAGCACCAATGATTGGTTTGCTGACTTTAGTGACGATAAATCTCCATTTCAATGGTCGGCGTAGGTTTAAATCCAGTTCCATTGTTTTTTCTCCATATGTAGGAATCACCGTATTGTTTGCTGCATAGAGTTGAAAATCCAGTGGCTCAACTTCTGCCCTTGTTTCGGCGATAAGACTGAGATATTCGCTCCGGTGTCGATAAGGAAAGTAAGCTTGCTTTTTATCGGTGACAAAAGACGGTAGGACTTTGCTGTTACGCTGGATCCCTTCGCATCAAGCGTATTAGTTAGTTTTCCGGTAGTATTTTCATTTTTGAATGTACACGGTGTTGTGCATTTTCTTGCCTCAAACCCGAAACGTCGATGATAGTAGCAGTAAGGGGATCTTGTTCTTGAGTTTGTTCGACTTCTACTTGCAGAGCGGTTTCGATGAAAAGGTGATCTTCGGTGATGCTGATTTGCTTGGTTGTACTATTGCTGGTAACAGGTGTGATGCTGGGAAGCTTTAAGCGCGGCGACTTCGAATGATAACTTCCGAATTTCTTCGAGAAGCTCCATAATGACGGCTTGATTACACTGATTTTATATATACTGAAGTCTTTCTTGACAATTATTTGATATTTTTCATACTATTCTTGCAGGGTTCTTCCTTCTCGGTGTTCGTAACGTGATCTTCCTTATCGGTGTACGTAACGGGATCTTCCCTCTCGGTATTCGAAAAGGGGTCACCTCTGTATGGTGATATGAGGTCCACTATTAACAGACTCCGAGTGGTTTAGTGGTGGAGAAATGAAACTATTTTTTTGATGTGCAGACGAATGGAGTATTGAGTATGGAATATGGAATATGGCATATATTTTTACGTCAACCCTGCCTATATTTATATGTCCGGCTACGTCGCTAGCTTTGCCTAGTACAATTCTTCATTAGACAAAACAACAACAGCACTTCTCGTAGCTACGTCGCTGGACTGAGCTATAAAAGTTGTGCAGGCTGGCGCGCGCGCGTACGGCGATTGTGAGCGTGACCGCCTCACGGCCAGTACCTCCTCACCAAACTCAGAAGCCCAAACCCGCCCCTCAGGCACCGTCAAACATCGACACTGACCTTTCGTTAGCGTTCAACTTCGCCAGCAATATTAATGTGGCCGAAGTCACAACCTTAGCCCGCAAACTTCGCGAAGCCAAGTCCTTACAAGATAGGCTAAATGCTACCATTGAGCATATCAATATTATCCAAGCGATAGGTTCGTTCCAGTGCGCCTAAGCCAATTTTTTCTTTTTTTCATAATTAAAATGGAAATATGACCTATAGTTAGAACCAAACCCAGGTCTCTGACTGTCGCGTTCTTAAATGCAAACGGTATCAGAGATCAAAAGGAAGAGATCATGTATTTTTTACGCGACCATGATATCGACATCATGCCAGTGTAAGAGACCTTCTTGAAAGCTAGTTTGAGCAATCCCAAAATAGCCAATTATAACTTAGTAAGAAATGATAGGCTGACCGGACCTAAAGGCGGCACCTTGATCTGCTACAAAAAGGTCCTTGCAATGTGTACCGATAGATACTCCGGCGCTTACTAACTTAGAAGCGTCGGTCTGTAGGATAGCACTTACGGGCCATCCGCCAATAATAGTTGCATCAGCATACCTGCCTCCCTTAAAAAGTATATTAGATACCGACATATCGGCTCTATTAAACCTAGGCCATTGCGTATTAATCGCGGGAGATCTGAATAGCAAACACGTTAGCTGGAATTCTAACGTTAACAATCCTAACGGAATTATTTTAAGAGACCTCACGGAGAGACTTAACTTCGACGTTATCGCTCCTGAGAGTACAACACGCTATCCTTATGCAAATAATCAACATCCGGATGTCCTTGATATAGCACTGCTAAAAGACACCCGACTTACTATTAATTCGATAAAGGTTATTATCGAACTAGTCTCAGATTACAGGCCGATCGTTTTACAACTGGGCCGGCCGGCAGGTGAGGAAAACTATTATCGACTGGCGTAAACTTGAGGTCAAACTTAAGTCTACGAACTCCCAGGATTTGGAAACTATACCTGACAAGATAGACTCGCTAGAGGAGGCCGATAGGGCGATTAGCGGCCTTTTGACTCACCTCACATCAGCGGTCGAAGAATGCTCCGGTAGGGTTCGCGTGTCGAGCGATCAATACACGATTAAATAGAAATTAATAGAAAGAGATACACGAATTTTATAAAAGAATATAACAGTATCAATATACTCAAGGAAGTTTTATGCATATTGGAAAGTAAATTAAAAATGGTAAATTTCGTGGTATTGTTAAGTATATGTGGAAGTGGACGACGCTTATAATATGTGATTGTAAGTAGGTGTTTGTATGTGTGTTACAAAATACTATCAATATTAAGAGAAAACATATTTAAAAAAATATTAAGGTACTAAACAAAATTGAGTGCTTATAAATAGGCATTAATACTAGCGTTGTAATCTTCAACATATAGCAGCCGATGAATAGTGCTAGTCACAATTCCTTGTTCTTTATATTAGGTATTGATGTCACTTTCCGAATTTATGCCAATCTGTGGAGCATCAGCTTCTTTTCTTAAAAACACCTTACCAAAGGAAGTCCAACAAAACTTGTAGTTATACATGACAGCATGTTTTCTTGCTAGATAAAGGAGATGTTTACTTTTTGGCGTTAGATTTTCGGAAATGAATACTGGTGTGCGTGGACCTTTGATTGATAATTGGTCTGTGCCTAACTTATCTTCCTTGCATTCTTTGTTGAAGTATTTCGAAGCCCTTATAAATTTTTCCTTTACTAATACTGTCGTGAATTCGACAATTATCGGCTTGTTTGTTGATTTTGAATAGGGTCTGAACATCACATCTTTAATATCCGAGTTCTGTAGTGGAATTTTAATTATATTTCCTATAGTTATAACAGTATTTGCAAAAGTTATACCAGTATTAGTCTCACTCTGATTTTTGGTATGTTTCTAATTTCAATACTAGCAGAACGAATCTGCTTTTCCAACTGTTCATTTTTTCTTCAAATATTCGCGTCTGGCTTCTATCTTCTTTTTTTGTACTCTCAAGTTGAACTACGTGATAAGAGATAAATGTGGTATGCAAGATGATGTTGTGACCAGGATTAAGCAAGGAATGCTTCGGTGGTTTGGTCATGTAGAAAGAATAAATGAGGAAAGAGTGACAAAGCAAATTTATATGGCAGATGTGAACGGCCGAGTCGGGAAGGGACGCCCTAGGAAAAAGTTTATCGACCAAATTGGCGATATTTTGAAAATGGGCCACATTAGAAGTACCCTTAACTGACGAACATGTATGCGTAGATATATGGATGTAAAGGAAGCGAAAGAGGTATGTCAGGATCGTGCCAAATGGAAGTCCGTAGTCTCTGCCTACCCCTGGGTGACAGGCGTGAGTGTTTATGTTATGTTATATGTAAGTTGAACTAATCTCTCCAATACACCATCATATTTTGCCGCAGACTCCTGTAATTCGGCATTTTGTTCTTTAATTTGTTCTATCAGCGACTGCAAAGACAGAAAGTATTGTTGCTGTTTCTTTTCAAACTCCCCAAACACACATAAAATTTCTGATTTGAATGCTAACATTTCTGATTCTCCAATTTCTTCTCTTCTTCTTTTGCTGCGTTTTGACACATTAGAAGTAAGCTCTGAGTCAGACAACGTTGGCACTTTCGTATTATCAGCTTGCGCTGCTAGCAAGGTAGATTTCGAGCCAGATTGCGTCGGTGGCGGCATGCGGTCGACAGGCATATTTAAAACAAAGTACGAAATAATAGGCTTTTAATATGTGCAACCGTAAATCAATTAAATACTATTTTAGATCTTATTGAAATAGATATACAGTGTTCACTACACAATAGCTTTAGGGATCTCACATACTGGGGACGATCGATGTTTTCATACAACTTCACAACTCGACCAGACCAAGTTGACCTCCTCGACGACGTCCATGCGATACTGTATTTCTTTCTTCGTCGTACAAAAATAACACAACGCTTATTAAGTAGAACGCAATGAAGATACAATTGTTTCACTTTACCCTATGACAATAATTAGATAGTTCTGCCTTCCTCCACCTTAGGAGTGATCCGAGTGTTAATGGAGGGGACACGGGCAATTGTTTATGAACACTTGTAAATACAATAAGCAAGCGCTTAGTCCTTTAACACCTCCTTGTTTTTTCTGCACTCCTAATATTATGACTTTATTTAAACTTGTTAAGTAATTTATAATTTTTTTTAATGAAATATACGTATTTACTTAAAACACGTCTGAACATCTCAGAGATCCGGGAGGGGGGGGAAGTAATGGTGAGTCATTTTACTCGATATTTTAAGTGCATTGGAGGAGTCATGGTCATCAGACGACTAGGTTTGCAATGTCCTAATTTAAAGTTTACTTCAGCCTTAATATAATATTTTTGGTCCGATATTTGCAGAATGTGAGCTTACAGTATCGAGCAGTATTGCAGTGGTATGCTTGGGTTTGGGTTTAATTTATTAGTTTTATTAATTATGGAAACCTGGATATTTTTAATATTAATAATAATAATAATAATAATTAACAGGTTACACTTATGTATTATATCTATTTAAAATTACAAAATTACATTTCAAAATTAGTTGGCGTTGACGGCCATACTAGTATAAACTGTGTTACAGCCGTCAGCGTCTTCCACCCTGAGTAGTACAATACAAATACAGTAAAAAATGACAGATTATTTCGCTATATAATACACAACCATGTTAAGTTAAATAATAAATTTAAAAAAAAAATTAAGAGAAAACTTTCTAATTACCACAAACCAGGTGTGTGTGTGTGTAGTGTGTGTGTGTGTGTGTGTGTGTGTGTGTGTGTGTGTGTGTGTGTGTGTGTGTGTGTGTGTGTGTGTGTGTGTATGTGCATGTAATAGTGTGTGTTTTTGTGTGAATGTGTGTGTGTATGTGTGTGTGTGTGTGTGTGTGTTAGAACTTAAATACTGATTAACTTCTCTGTTTCCAGGTAATTAAGGCTTAGCAACCAATTTAGGATTTTATCTTTACATTTATGAAGGGACAAAGGGTAAATATTGTTAACTTTATTTGCTACATATAAATATAATATTGGAAATATTTTATATTTCTGAAATAGCAGGCTTGTTACGATGTTTTTTGCACATGTCGCTACGTAATAACGACGTCGAGTCAACGCTCTACTCTATGTTATGTTCTATGTATGTTCACCATAGAGTCGCTCTTGCCACTGTTATATCAAGGGACTCCCAATTTTTTTTAACTTTCTCTAATAAAATATGGCGTTTTTTGACCTAAATACGAAAACTTACCTATATTACTGCAACAAAAATACCTTAGTGCTTTAAAAATATTTTTGAATCCATTAAATTGAAATTTAATTTGTTGGTTTGCTCTTCAGCGCTGCCATCATAAAGATTAAATACCGCACCGGTAAGACAAGATTGCATCAATTAGACCTATATACTCAATAGTGGCGTTGAGCCTGTCCTAAGGGGTGGCTGCTCCGTGAATTTTGCGGGCCAAGGAAGATAATTCAGCAACGTTAATGTTGATGTTAAAGCCACAGACGAAAGACAAGTCAGCGGAAAAGGAAGAGGAGCCTTGAGGAACGGGCTTGGTTTTAGGGGCCTGGGGAGGCAGCAGCACCCACGATATTTCACTGAGTGTCCCCCTTCGTGGCAACTAACACAGCTCGGAGGCGCTTTCGTCTCGAGCGTGCGGGTGCACCCAGTGGTGCCGTGGTTACCTAGACAATTAACGCACTTAGGTCTGGCTTAAGAGGTTTTTGGGTTGTTGAGGTTTGTGTTCGTAAAGTTGAAATCGGTGGCACTGGCTAACGATGCCCTTATTTCAGGAGGCTTCAACTGCGATTTCCGTTAGGTTGCAGATGCGTCGAACGTTAAATATCTCTTTGCCTTCCGGAGAAAGGTCCAGAACGAAAAGGCACAAGTCTAAAAACCGTTTCTACTCGGTCTGATTTCTTGGATTTCTGATTCTTGGATCGGGAGATTTTGGGCATTTAGATCATCTTAAATATGGACGGTTTCGAGCTCTTTAGGGGAATCCGCGAATAACCATCCGAAGGTTACGGTCCTCTGAGAGGGCGTAGATGTAGAAACTGATTTCCAGGGGCGCAGAAATCCCTTAGTTGCGTTTCAAAAGATACAGATGGCCCGACCGGTGTTTTGCATCATTGGGCAATACATTCTTTTCGGATTCAATCAATAGGCGAAAATCACAAGCGAAACACATCGAAGTATATATTGCGCTATCAAAGTTCCGAATTAAAAACAGTATATATAGAACACCTTCGAATTATCACACGGAGTATTGGCCGCTCCCTAGGTAGAACACCTTGCCCGGCGGGAGATGTCTCCCCTTATCCTTTCACGGCCAAAGTGGTGACCCCTAAGGAACCCTAAAATGTCAACGTCTAGTATCATATATATCATATCAGAAGTCTAGTAAAGTGACCGTTAGGCGTGCTCAACGTGTGCGCGTTCCTACAGAGAGTGAGTGGACAAAATGGCGGACGCACGGAAAGTTAATGTAAAGGTGCTTTTATTTTCTCCAGATGGAGATCTGGTTTGCACTATAAAAGAGTCCGTTTGAGAACTTTAATATAATTGACGACGCTACAAAATTCACGAACGTGAAACCGATGAAAGGCATTATCGTGAACCCTCTGGCGTATAACCGCTACAACAAGAAAAATACGGAGCTAATTAGCTAATTAGTTCTATCAGCGTCTCATGAGAAAAAGTTAAAACAGTTCTTACGCATGAGCTCCGGTATCGGAAACCGTCACAATTTCATCGGCATCAGATGGATCTAACGGGACCTTCCGTGATGGAAGAATTTATAAGAACTATATGGACTAATCGTCTCAAGCTCAACATTCAGACGGTACTAGCATCTCCACCAACCCCTTCCTTGGAGCAATTGGCTTATCTTGCAGACCGCATATAGGGAATCACAACATCCTGTAACGTAGCGGTCGCGACTTCCAGCGCTGCAATGACTCAACTACGACAAGATGGATATGAACACGCAACCAACAGCTTTCGGAAACTACAACTTCAAGATTTTTTTATAGAAGAGGGGGCAAACGAGCATGCGGCTCACCTGATGTTAAGTGACTACCGCCGCCCATTATCAACCGCAACACCAGGAGAATTGCAGGTGCGTTTCCGGCCCTTTAGAAAGGAGTAAGCTCTTTTCTTGAAGGTCACCAGGTCGTATCGGTCCGGAAAAATCGCCGGTGTTAAACTATTCCACAGAGAGGTTGTACGCGGAGGAAAACTCCTTTTGAAACGTACAGTGGTAGACCGCCAAGCATCCAGATGGTGTGGATGGTATCGGGACGTTTGCCGCGTACTGCGTTCACGAAATTTGGCGGCTGGGATTAATCCCAACAATTCCTCAGAGCACTCTTCATGGTATATGCGAAAGAAAATGCAAAGAGATGCATCTCTTCGTAGTGCCAGTGAATCGAGAAGATCGGAAAGCACTCGGTTCGTCGACAATTCGAGCCGCTCTGCACTGGATGCCGTCAAGTGGAAGGAGCTGGTACTGGGGAGCCCCAGCCCAGAGATGGGAATTCATCTACGGCCGAACCTGCGCCTTATAAAGTTGCAGGCGGTGTGCCGGCATTAAATACTGTCCCACTCTACTAAGCACGCCATGCTTTTTAGAGGCCAATTTGACCTTCTCTTCCAATTGACCACGAAACTGCACGTCATTCGATATGTCAACGCTAAGGATTACGATACTAGCTGAGACCACAAGGGGAGTGCCTTGAAACTGAGGAGATACGACAAAGGTATTCTTTTTAGCGGTTAACGCGCAAACTTGTGTCTTCTGGGGGTTAAACTGGACTAGATTTAGCCGCCCCCAATCCGAGACTCTATTCAGCAAAGACTCGACTTCAGACACAAGTTTGTCCGGCACTCGGAGACGTTTTCCCGAGAAATATTGGCTCGGCCAGTGTAAAGAACATCACCAGTACTGTCATCTGCATAGCAATAAATGTTACGGGTTTGCAACATATCATTGATATGCAGAAGAAACAACGTTGGCGGTAGCACGCAGCCTTGTGGAACACCAGGATTAATAGGCTTGCAATCGGAGCTTGCACCGTCTACAATGACCTTGATGCTCCGATCTGCAAGAAAACTGGTGATCCAATCGCACAATTTCTCGGGAAGCCCATAGGAAGCTTCGAAAGAAGCGCTTTGTGCCAAACCCGATCGAAGGCCTTCGCAATGTCCAAACTAACGGCCAATGCCTCCCCCTTGGACTCTACTGCCTCCGCCCATCTGTGAGCTAGGTAGACCAGAAGATCACCAGGTGACCGACCACGGCGAAAACCGTACCACCTGGTGATCCTCAAGGTACATCATGAGCTGGCAGTTTACAATGAACTCCATTGTTTTGGAGAACAAGTAGGTGATGGCGATAGGCCGGTAGTTGGACGGGTCTGAGCGGTCGCCTTTTTTAGGGATCTTGTGGACGAAAGCCGTCTTCCATGATTTTGGGACTACGTCTAGGGAGTAGGAGTATCGGAAAAGACGCGTTAAAACCGGTGCCAACTCTGGAGCACACGTCCTCAGCACAATTGGGGGGAGTCCGTCAGACCCACTCGACTTGTGGATGTCCAGGGAGTGGAGTGCTTTGCGAACCGAGCGCTGTGTGAACTGCACTTCCGGCAAGGAGCACTCACACCGCGGGATGGTC